AATGGAAGCCTCTGAAACTGCATCCACCAAGATAGTAAATCAACAACAATATCTTAAACAGAGGAAGATGGCAAAAAGTAGTGCCACCCTTAAAGACCTAGAGAATGCAGAGGTGGTGTTACCTATTATATCTCTATTTAATTCACCAGTTGGACTCCTGCAAAAGCCAAGAAGATCCTGAAGGATGATACTAGAGTACCACAGACTCAACCAAGCAGAAGCCCCCATTGTAGCTGCTGTGCCTTATGTGATATCTTTGCTGGAGCAGGATAATATATTCTTGGGTACCTAGCATGCACATCTGGTGAACACATTCTGTTTCATCTGTATCAGAAAGAGAATCTGAAACAGTCTGTGTTCATTTGGAATGGACAATGGTATACACTTATGTTCTTGCTTCAAGGCTCTACTAATTTTCCCCACCCTCTGTCATAATATGGTGTGAAAAATCCTGGACTTCCTAGACATCTTGCAGAAAATCACACGGTCCTCTATATTGCTGACACCATGCTAATTGGACCAGATGAGCAAGAAGTGGTTAGTACATTGGAGGCTATAATAAGACTCATGTGCTCCAGAGGGTTGGAGATAAAACCTACGAAGATTCAGGGACATACCACTCCATTAAAATGTGAAGGTGTCTAGTGATATAGGGAATGCCAGACATCCCTTTCAAAACAAAGAACAAACTATTGACTCTTTCCATAAATTGCATAAGGAAGCATAGTACATGGTAGGCCTCTTTAGGTCCTAGAGGCAGCGTATCTCACACCTGAGAATACTGCTCTGGCCTATATACCAGGTAATGCAAAAGACACCCAGCTTTGAGTAGGATCCAGAGCAGAAAAGGACTCTGAAGTGGATGTAGGCTGTGTGCGAGCAGACTTGCCACTTGGGCCACATGATACAGCAGATCCTATTATTAGAGGTGTCAGTGGTGGAAAAATAATACCATATAAAATTTGTGACAAGCCCCAGTGAGACAATCACAATGCACACCCCTTGGATTCTGGAGCAAGACCATACCATCTGTAGCTGAGAACTAGTTACCTTTTGAAAAACAACTTCTGGCTTGTTACTAGACAAGGGGCACCAAGGGACCATGCAGCACAACTCACCCATCATGAGCTACTTAGTGTCAGATACAACTAATCACAGTTTGGTCAGGCCCAGAATCAATCCACTGTAAGATGAGAGAGGTATATCCAGGACCATAGGGCACTGTATGAACAGGCAGAGCAGACTGCCATGACATCAACTGCTGTCATATCGGAGCCTCCCCTTAGCCCACACCAATGATTGCATGGAGGAACCCCTTATGACTGGCTAATACGGGCAGCCTGAGCTTGGTTCACGGATAGGTCAGCTAAGTAAGGGAATACAAGCCAAAATGGACAGCAGCTGCACTTCAGCCCCACTCCGAGGTGGCCTCGAAAGATAATGGTAAGGGACATCCTCCCAATGACCAGAGCTTTAGTTGGTGCACCTAGTTAACCACTTTGTATGGAAAGAGAAGTTATAGGATGTGACAATATATGAGGGCTCAGGAGTAAGGCAAACAGCAAGGGCAGCTGATCAACTGGAAGATTGGGGATAAAGAGGTCCTGGATGGAGTGTTGTGAATGGATATACAGGAGTGGGCAAGAAGTATGAGAATCTTTCCATCACATGTTAAAGCCCACTGGGGAGAATCTGCCATGGAATAGGCACTAAACAACAAGGGAGACAAATTGACTCAGCTAGTGATGCCAGCCAGCCTGTTAAGTGCTAGAGCCATAAATACATAAATAGAGTCATCATGGTGGCAACGATGGAGGCTATGCATGAGCCCAACAAATTGGCTCCCACTCACCAAGGCTGATCCAGCCATCTACTACTACTGCCAAATGTTCAACCTTCCAGCAACAGCGACCAATGCTAAGTCTCTGACACAGCACCAACCCTTGAGGAGCCCAACATGGCACTTGGTGACAAGTTGATGACATTGGAGCCCTGAAAGGGGTAATGATTCATTTTGACAGGAATAGACACACAACCTGGGTATTTTATATGTCAATAAAACATTATCATAAAAAGATATTAACTCTGTGTTAGATGGGTTACAAACACTTTCTCAGTCTTATGTCTGTCTCTTAATTTTGATTTTTTAAAAAATGTGTGTCCATGTCACTGTGTTTGTGAGGGAGGGATGTTGGCAACGTCATGGTGCCAGGGTGGGGGGCAGGTGAGTCTTGATGCTGTGAGTTCAGGAGGGTCATACAAACTGCAGCCTTCCTGAAGTCTCTATTCCTGGCCAATCCACAGAGTTAGATCTCGGATCTGATTTCTTGCCCACTAGCACAATTTCCTGTGGCCTGGAGTCCTGTCCTGAGTCTTAGTTCAATCGACCTTCAGTCTCTCAACGCCGTTCTCGTCTAAAAGGCCAGATAGCCAGAACCACTGACTTCAAGCATTGCGTGTGATTGAAACAATGCTGTTGGGCTGCACCCACCTGCACAGAACTCTTTGGACATCAGCTGGGCCTAAATCAAGGCTGAGTTCACCACTTTCACTATACCGCTTTGCTCAGCAGCTATTCTGATGCTACTTCCCCATCAGGGCTGTGCCTTCCCCACTGATCTGGCACTGTGGATCCAGCCTGCCTCTTCTGAGTTATGTCAAGTGAGTCAGCTGCTGTGGGTTCCACACACTTACCTAAAGTTTGATGTGCTGCCATCGGTCCAAGTGTAAAGGTCCTGGCAGGCTGTGCTATTGCTTTGTTTCTCCTCACGCCTCCTGAGCCCAATCCAGAAATCACCATCAGATGCCAAGAGGTTTTCAATGAACTTTTCTATCAGTCTCTGTTCATCTTCAGACTCGATGCTGACTAGCTGTCCCCCGTCCCTCCTGCAGGATTCTTTGGCTTCTTCAAAGTTCAGTCTTCGAGAAGCATCGTGGAAGTAAATGACTTTATAACAAGGCCTCTGTGTCCCTCCCCGGCAGACAGGCTGCCCTAGAGAAGAGAACAACAACAAAAAAAAAGCGAACCTGTTTCAGTGTCCTTAAAAGTACACCAGGGCAGCCAGCTTGGAGGTATTTGAATGAAGCTGTTCCTGGACAGGAATTCTGATTACTCATCAGTGGACTGTTATCATGTCAGTTAGGGTTCTAAGAGGAAATCAATACTCCTTCCAGCATAGAGATGCTGTGATTTAAACTCTGATACCTATATTGTGTAGGGATGATGTGTTTTGTTTGTTCCATTACAGATTCTTGAAAAACAGGCATTCCTGATCCTTTAAAAGAGAGATAGATGAAGACTTCTGGTTTCACTTAAAGGCACACAAATAACATTTTGATGCCATTAGGGGATCTCAGGGGATAGTGTGGCTTAAAGTGAGTATCTCTATTTAGTGGTTCCTTCAGGTAGGAGAGGTATTCTAAAATCAGACATGGGCTCCGCTCCCCTTGAACCCTCTACCTAGGCAGCGGGAGTGTGAATTCACTCAGCCTCTGGTGTAAGCAGAAGGGAAGAGCATCAGATCCATGGGGTTTTCTGCCACCGACAGTCAGTCCCCTGACCTCAAGATAACAGCTAAGATTTACTGAACTCTTGTACCTTGGTAAGAGCTTTACATTTACATACATGCTTTCTCTTACTGAATCCTCATAACAATCTCTGGTGTAAGCAGAAGCGAAGAGCATCAGATCCATGGGGTTTTCTGCCACCGACAGTCAGTCCCCTGACCTCAAGATAACAGCTAAGATTTACTGAACTCTTACTATGTACCTTGGTAAGAGCTTTACATTTACATACATGCTTTCTCTTACTGAATCCTCATAACAATCCCCTGAAGCAGATGTTGTTTATGCTCATTTTACAAATGAGAAAACTGAGGCTCAGAGAAATTAAGTAATTTGGCTAAGGTCACACAGCTATTAGCAGCATTATCTGAGTCAGAACCCAGATCTAATTACAAAGTCATGCCAGGACCACTGAGCTATACTGCCAGCTCCCCACTCCACCCCAGGCTCACGTTTTATCTTATTGACACCTGAAGGGCTGAAGACCATCTCAGACAAATGGATGGGATTCTACTGAGGAGCAAATAATAAATTGTTCACCAGTACACACTACCCTAGCTTGTGTCTGGGTAACTGAAGCCTTGCTGCAATTGAAACATTAGCCTCCTTAAAAAAATAGAAACATTAGTCTCCTTACTCCTTTGTTCAATCAGCACTTAATTGAGTTATACTCTGTGCCTGGCACCGTGCTAGGTGCTGGGAATATCGAAACAAATGCCAGTTCCTAGCCCACAGGGGACCACAGCATATGTTTCTGGATCCAAATGTGCAAAGTGGAAACCACATCTCAACAAGGAGCGTAGTCCCCAGCAACATGAGAACCAGATTGTGGGCTGTGGATGTGAATTGCTGCCACAGAGCAAGGGGTAAAGGATTTTGGTTTGGGAACCTCTTCCCAGACCTTCTGGAATGTTTTCATTTTCCTAACTTGTTTTGCAGCTGTGCCGGGAGTCAGATAGCTTTCATTACTCCCAATACTGTCCAGAATACAGGGCAAAAGGCCACAAACAGTTAACTACATTATTAGTGCTAAATGGGAAAGAGCATATACAAATGATCCAGGAGGCTCTTGTGAATCCTTATTTTTTTATTTCTTCTCTCATCACGTTGGTAAAGACATTCTCAATGAGCAACAAATCGTAAGAGTTTTACATCTTCCTCTTTTCCTGTCTTTCTTTGGCTACTGCTGCTAAATAGAGAAACTAACTGGACTGGTCCACGGGAAATTAGGAAGGCACAAAAGCAGGATAGTTTCACCAAGGAGATGTTTCAGAGAGTCTGTGGCTGGGATGCCGGCTGGGCAGGAAGCTGGGCTCCAAACCGGGCAGCAGAGGAAAAGCAAATGACCCCTCCTCCCCAACACCCCCAACCTGGCCGCCAGCGTAACATAAACTGGAGTCGAATTTACTGGCAGCCCCCGCGTTTCCATTCTGGGTTGTCAAGGGAAAATATAACACCTTGACGAGTTTCCTGTACGGTCCAGCCCGGCTACACATCCCGAGTCTGCGGGTGAGTGCTAGAGAGAGCCAGAGCTGGAAGGCGGCCCGAGGGCCCATCTGGTTCCCCTGCCTTCAGGAAGTGTCTTTCTCTCCTCCTTCGCAGGAAGGGGAAGGGCGGGAGGGCCTTCTGTTCCCCACGACCAAGGACGGAGCCCGTGCAACCCTAACCCAAGCAGCTCAACTCGGTCACGCTCCCCTTTTGCTGCCCCGCACCCCGCGCCCACCCTGAACCAACTTTAGATTCTTTAAATGAGTTTCTCAAGCTGGGATGCCCGAGTGAAGGAGGTTTTCATTCTCCTCCGTCCCTCTTGGTCAAGCTTTCGGCGCTCGCGAAGGCGAGCACAGGAAAGTGCACGACATTCTCCTCCCGACATGCAGGACAAACGGAAGAGGCAAGAAGCCTGAGCACTGTACCTCCTCTGAGGTCCAGGTCCGAGGCTGCAGTGACACGACAGGAGGAAGGAAGTGGAGAGAGTCATTGCCAGGAGTCAGGCGGGGCTCGTCCCGCGCTAACTAGGCTTTTTTCCCGATCTCTAAGCGCTCTGGTTCCAGGCGCTGGATCCTGCCGTCCTCCCCCCAGAAGTGACCAGGAGGAACAGGCCGGGTTCGCACCCACCGCCGATCCGGAATCCCCATCCCGCCGTCTCCGGGCTGCCTCCCCGAGGGGGCTAGTGGGTGAGCCTACCCCGCGTGGTGTCCAGGCGACGACCGCGCCGCGCTCAATGGAGCGGGCCAAAGGGGCATCCATGCGGGCAGTGCCCGCTGCCGCACCCAGCCCACGCCCTCCAACCCAGCCCCGTAACGCTGGGCCGGGGACAGACTTCGAGCGTTCCGGGATACGCAGAGGACTGGGCGGTCCCGAGAACCGGTGCTTGTCTCAGACGCCGGGCAATTGTTCCCGGGAAGCAGGGGAGTCCGGACGGCTGAGTCCGGGGGTGCTGCGGGGGGCGCCCCCCACCCCCACCCCGCGGAGGACCACAGAAGAGGCTCGGCGGTTCTGAAGAGTGGCCGCAGCAGCTGGGTGCAATGGGTGCATCAGCCGAGCCCACCCCGGCACCAGCCTCCGCCCCAGCGCGCGCACTCACCGCTCAGCAGGCGACCCGTCGCGCCCCGCAGCCCCGCCAGCAGCGCAGCCAGCAGCACGGCCTGCAGCGTCGGCCGCGGCTGCATCGCCCGACTCGGATGCGCCCTCGGGTATCCCGGCGCTGCGGCGCTGGAGCGGGCGGACGGGCGGCGACGGGCGCGACAGCTGCAACGGTGGCAGCAGCATCTCCCGAGGACCGACGGACCGGGCACCGGGAGGAGGCGGGGAGAGCACGGAGTCCGTTGGTCGCCCCTCCGCCCCCTGGGACGTCACTGCGGGGAGGGCAGGGCAGCCCCGCCAGCTGGCCCGCCCCCGACGGCCTCCTCCAGCGTGTTCGGCGCCTGACACTCAGCTGGCCGGAGGGGAGCGAGCCGCAGGGAGGCCAGCTCCCGCCCCGCTCGGAGTTTCCCAGGGAGATCCTGCGCTTGCCTAGGGTGCAGGGCGGAGGAAAACCCCAGTCTGGGTTCTCTGAAATCTGATGAAGTGGCTAAAAACACGATCACATCTCGCCTCTGCTCCCCGGAGCCATAGCCAAGTTCACCCAGCTCTAGTGTGGGTCAAGAAAGAGGCAGGCACCCATACTTACCTGGGGCTCAGGAGGCCGCAGTCCAGGAGCTCAGGGCTATATCTGAGAAAGGAATGGTCCATGCAGACAACAAATGCTCAAGCAGACAGTGTGGCCACTGGCCAGGAAAGTTATGGGATACGGGGTCCAGAGAAGGTGGCTGAGAGGAGAGTGACTTCCACCAGAAGCCAAAGGCTGTCCCAGATTTCAGCAAGGAAAAGATTGTTTTTTGTCTTGAGATCTCCTTTTGATACCCTGGACCTTGGTCCAGATGGACTTTGTTAAGGTATACAGTCAACCGAGTGTGTTAGATTGCAGTGATTTCAATTTTTCACACCTCTTGCTATCCACATCCTTTACCATATGATTTTGCAGTTCCCCTTACTAAAGAGGATATTTTCCCACCCTTTGTCTTTGGCCATGTGACTGACTTGTTTGGTTAACAGAATGAGCCAGAAGTTTCTGAGGCCAGACCAGAGAAGGCCTCAAGTGTTTTTGTTTGTTGTTTTGCTTCTCTGCCACTCTCTGAGAGAAACATACCTCAGCTATTACACTGGCACATGTATATCCTCAAGAGGGTAGTATATGAGCTGCCTCAGTCAATCAACAGAGTTGCAGTGAGAAGCAGAGCTGCCCTAGGTGCCATAGCCTGAAACAGAGCTGCCTGGCCAAGCCCAGATAGACCAAATCTCCAGCTGACCTGCAGATGTGTGAGCAATAATAAATGTTGTTCTATACCCCTTTGTTATGCAGCATTGTTGCAGTGAAAGCTAACCACTACACCTGGCAATGCAGGGAGGTGTTACCAGGCAAAGTCTGGTTGCCAAGAAAGTTCACAAAGTGGAATTTTTCTTGGTAGAATTTCCTTGGTCCAGGGTCCAATCTTTAGTCTGACAAGCTCAAACCCAATCTAAGCGACTAACATATTTATGCACTGAGAAATATAACTGTCAGGTAAACTGATGTTTGCATTGGCTTGTTGAGCACATATTGTCCCTCTGGGCGAGAAAAGATTTCTCATTGAGCACAGTATGAGAACAAAGGGAATTAGTTAAACTATTTAAAAGTTCAGGCTTTGATAGCATGCTATGTCTACCTTCACAATAGAGATCTGTCTGACAGACAAATATATCAGCCTCACAATGTACCTTTTATCCTTGATGGTGCTGGGATAGAATTGCCAATTTATAACCTTTGAAATTTTCCTTTTCTGTATCACAGTGCTATTTACAATAGCCAAGATATAGAACCAACCAAAATGTCCACTGATGGATGACTGGATAAAGAAAATGTGGTATAATACACAATGGAATATTACTCAACCATAAAAAAGAATGAAATTTTGTCATTTGTAGCAACATGGGTGAACTTGGAGAAAATTATGTTAAGTGAAATAAGCCAGGCACAGAAAGAGAAATATAATGTGTCCTCACTTATATGTGGGAGCTGAAAAATAAACAAAGAAGCAAAGAAAGCAATAAACACAATAATACTTTGAACATTCAGGAGAACAGATCTGTGGCTATAAGAAGGAAAGGGAGAGTGGGAGGGTGGTTGGGAGAAACTGGTTAATGGACACAGAGAATGAGTATGTTTTGTAATGATGAAGATAGCAACTATCCTGATTTGATCATCACACATTTTACGCAAATACTGATAGTAAATTCTGTACCCCACAAATATGTATAATCAATTATGTTTTAATAATATATATTTTTTCTCTTTTCTAGGCTCGACTACCTTCCTTTCGTTCCAAATGTTTTTCACAAATAGGATTGTGCCAGAAACTTGCAGTTGTCCCCTAATATCCATTCTCCACTTCTTGTGGTGATAGAGTTCCTACATTTTCATTATGCAGATGATTCCCTTCCCCATCTAGACTATTTCCAGCCTCCCTTGCAGCTCGGTGTGTCTCTGTGATTAAGTTCTGACCAGTGAGTGGGTCACCTGCTCCTCTGTTGGCACTGTGGATGGTAGCTGGGAGGTCATGTCCAAGAGTTCCAGGTGGAGGCCTTAGCAAAGTGAATGGCAGTCCTAAATAGAGCTGTGAACACTGGGGAGAACGTGTAACCCTAAGCAGGACTACTGTTTAGACAATGCAGAAGGGAGAAATCCTTAACCTTTTTTTTTCCAATATATACCAAAGGGAATGAACCTTGAAAGTGAGGGAGGTTGGCACTGGGGTTATGTATGTGTGTGCAAAACATAGGCATGCTAGGCCAGTTATTCACAGGACTAGAAGCAATTCATTTCTGGCTTCAGACATGTTCCAGAAAAGGAATAAACCACATTTTGGAAAAGGGATTTTTTTTTTTTAAAGAAAGAAGACTTTACATTTTCAGGACTGTCCTTTCCTTCCTGTTTCCTTACTTTTTTCCAAGTAGTCGACATATTGGAGCACATAAATCCCTTGTTTCTTGTTCATCTGATATTCATAATATAGGTCAAATATAAAAATTCTGGAAATACACAATAAAAACAAGATAAATAGGAGTTTGAGAACGTATAAGATGAGAGATAATTATAGTGTGATGGCAAACACAGTAGTATAATAAGTAAAACGGACACAAATATTGAAAAACTGGTAAAATTACTAGAAATGTGCACATTCAACTTTTATTTCTTTGTCTATTTTAACGTTGTCAGTGATCCCAATGATCTAGATGTAGAAGTAGGTTGTTTCAAACGTGCAGATATAAGTAAGCCTTCCTCTGTCCTGTTTCAGTCACACTATTCCAAGGCTTTGACTTCTTCTCGGTCCTCTTTATCTGATTCTGATTTTAACGTTGTCAGTGATCCCAATGATCTAGATGTAGAAGTAGGTTGTTTCAAACGTGCAGATATAAGTAAGCCTTCCTCTTTCCTGTTTCAGTCACACTATTCCAAGGCTTTGACTTCTTCTCGGTCCTCTTTATCTGATTCTGACATCACTTTCCTGTTGGTAGTAATATGCGTCAGTTACAAAACACAGAACCCTGTAGTTTTGAACACAATGTAGCATGAAAACGACTTCTGAAAATTTTCTCGATAAAAATTCACTATTGTGGATTCTGAATATGCACTAGGTTTTGCAACCAAATCTAAACTTATCTGTGGGGAAAGTGGTTATTATATTGTGAAGTTAGTTTTGAAAGGCATGGGAGAAAACCCCTTATCCTAAATATATTTTCCTCAACTAAGAGTCAAACTCCTGAGATTTCCTCATTGATAACTGATTTCTCTGGATTACCCATTGTTCCTTCTATTCAGCCCTCTTTTAAAATGCAAGTATTCGTGGGGTAGATAATAAATATATTGCTACTAACACTTTACTCTGAACATACTTTCCACTCCTTCTTTCCGACAGAAGGGGACCCGGACTATCCTAAGAAGATCTATTGAAGTAGGGATGGTTAAGGGTGCAACTGTGTATGTAGGGAAGTTTTGGGCAGAGAAGAAAGGATGGAGGGCAAAATTAAAGTATTTTACAATTGTGTCTAAAATATTTATGAAGTTTAAAAAAGCTTATAAATTAATGTATAATATAAAGACACCACTTTCTAAATTGGCTTACTACTGAATTACATTATATTTTTAAACTAAATTTTTTTGTTACAAATATTTTCCAAATTCTGACATGTAGGCAATGTGCTAGGCACTTTGGATGGACCAGTTTCTCATGGAGCTTACAATACTCGTATAGTTATAGACAAGACAAAAAATACGTGAAAAGGTAAGTAACTTAAGAGATAATAAGAGTTAAATAATTATAAAATATAGGCACAGAGTAGTGCATGATTAATCACCAAAAGAATAGTACAGACAGTAACTATAAGAAGTTCAGAGGAAGAAGATGTCACAGTGAAATGAAATGAAATTCCAGGCTTCAGGATGGAGGAGAGAGTTAATACACAAATGGAATTAAGTAACTAAGCATTTAAATTACTAAAAGAATTTATCTATTCAACATGTGTATCAGCAGGAATGTTCTGTAAAAATACACGCAGAAATCTAAGGCACCCATACATATCTGTTGATGCTACGAAAGTAGCAGTCTTTATCCATTCTTTGAATCAATTAAATGAATCTTTTAATTGGGCCAGTTTTGCTCTACCTTTAGACGCTAAGTCAAATCATCTGATTAAAAAGCGAGAAATTAAGTTTTTGAGCATTGTATAGACAATATAGCCAGGTGATTAACTGATCTTTTTTCAGATATTTTAAAAATTAGTGTAGACATATTTATTCTTCTTTAAGGGTATTATTTTGATAACATTCAAGGGAATCAGCCTCAACATAAATGAGATAAGAATCAAAATTCTATTACTTTCTGTTCTTCCCTGAATGTAGTACAAAAATAAGTATTTGTTAAGTTAATGTTGAGTTAGCCACATTGATTTTCAGAAAAATGAAGAGATTTCTTCCTGCTTGAATGATTAACTGGTGATAGCTGGTTTCCTTTAAATGCATTTAGACCATGTTCCTAATCATGTTCTAACATTATTACAGGAATAAGGCTATTAACTCATCACTGAGAGGCTAAAGCCTTTGCCACATGAACTTAGCTTTTGCAACCTTAGATATGCCATTGGTGGGCTCAGAGCTGGTGACCTATAAGACCTGGTAAAGATGGTAGGGCTAGGTGTTGGGAGGGGAGGTGGAGCTGGGAGGGCTTGATGGCAGATGAATACGATAGCCCAAGATGAGAAGGGAGGGAAAGAGAATGTGCCCAGAGCTTCAAGGCTGATCTGCTCTCCAGTTGGCACTGATTTATGCTTGTATATTCCACAGATACACAAGTGTGTATAGAAGTTTTAATATCTATGAGGAGAAAAGGTTTATTCAAGATAAAAAATCCCTAATACAGTGGGGTGGGCTTTTAGAAGATTTGAGGGTAAAGGGCAAAGTAGGAAAAATGAAGTACTTTTCTGCACAGTAGATTACAAGATGAGAATATTTTTGACAGAAGTACTCTTACTTGGCTTTGTGCACTTTGGCCTTTGGTTTATAAGGAAGAGAAATCAGTTCTTTCTGAAAAAACAAAACATAACCAAAATCAAAAAGGAAAAATTTTACTTCTTGCACCAACTGAAACGTACTCATTTGAAAAAATTCTGAGGTAAAATCATCATAGAATTTATAAAGACTAGCTTCTTAAATCTGGAAACTGTGGGTCCAGAAATGTTCCAGATTAGGGGATTTGGGGTTCACATACGAGTGTGTGTTTGTATACCCATGAGTTTACAGGGAGCTATTATTATTTTTATTAGGTATGTTTCTCTTCATTTAGCATTTATTTATGATATAGGAAAGATCAATAACTGCAAAACAAATATTAGCACTGAAGTAGCCCATGTTAATATCCTACAGCTTTATAATATGTGAACAATAAATTCCACTGACAATAACACCTCATTTCTTATGCCAGCAGAACTCTGGAGAGTTTTTTGGTTATTAAAAA